TTGTTACTATTATTATTATTACTATTATTATTATTACTACTATTATTATATTTTGTTATTACTATCGTTATTATTACTATTACTATTATTATTATTACCATTATTGTTGTTGTTGTTTCTATTATTATTATTATTATTATTATTATTACGACTACTACTAATATTACTACTATTATTATTATTACTATTACTATTATTATTATGACTATAATTATTATTACTATTACTATTATTACTATGACTATTGTTATTGTAATTATTACTATTATTATTATGATAACTATCATTATCATTGTTACTAGTATTATTATTGTTATTATTATTATTATTTCTATTATTATTATTATTTCTATTATTATTGTTATTATTGTTATTATTGTTATTATTAGTACTAGATTCTACCTGTGCGATGCACGGTAAGAATAATATATAGAGTAATAATAATCAATGTAATATATAAATAATACAATTACTTACTATGGAGTAGAAAATTAATAAATATTATTCACTTCATGTGGCAATAATATTGATACATATACTAAAAATAATCACAATATCTTACATAATTTTAAAATCGAAGAAACAATACAAATAGGGATAAAGTTACAAATTATGGAAACCTTTTTGTACACAGCACTCTAAGTGGGGTCCAATGCATTACTTTCTTCATAACAGATAAAGATATTCAATCTTTCTCAATTTGTCATACTAACCAAAGTACGCAATCAACTAAGAGCATTATCTTTATAAATTTAACTCTTAACATCTAGTGTTTTCCAGGTTTTTCAATTTCTTCCAGTTTCTACCAGTTTTTTCCATCTATTCTTATTTTCTTGAAACTCTTTCTACTTCCTGACAATTACTCAAAAATGATGAATTTTAATGTGATTATATTATTATTATTACTATTATTTTATCTTCAATATTATTAGTATTATAACTATTATGTTCATAACTATAGTTTATAAAGTATTTCATTTATTTATTTTTCCCATGTCACTATATTTACGCTTCATACTCATAATTATTTTTTCTTCAACTTTTTTTATATAAATAATACAATATTTTTTATTAATCTACATGATAAAATAGGAAAACATCAAATTTTAAACAATATTTAAAAAATTAGGAGTTCTATGTTTTTATTTCCTAAAATAGAACTTACAATGCAAATATAATGTTAATCATGAAAGACAAAAATAGGTTTGATCACATTATGTGATAGGTTTGATATTTAAAATAAAATCTTGTAATTTATAAACTGTAGTTAAAAATATATTATTTTAAAACAAATACAACATAAATAAATTAAGATGCAACGCAACCACAATAATTGTTTTTAAAAATTAACATTTTAATATTTATACTAATTTTATATTCTAATTAAAGAATTTTTTATAAATTAGATTTTTCTGTGTATGAAAAATGACAATATTTGTTTTATTTTAAAGACATTGATTAAGAATAAGTGATTATGAATATAATAATAATAATAATAATAGTAATAATAATAATAATAATAAATAAATTATAACTATAAATTAACAATAATGACAATTTTCAAAAGTTTTTTTTATATATTTTTTTTTCTAGTTTTTCCAGTACCATCTAATCTCTTCGAATTCTTCCAGTTTATTCCAGTTTATTCGAGTTTCTTCTAGTCTTTCCGTCTTCCAGTTTTTTTCAAACATGCATCTGTTTTTTTTCAGCCTAGAGAACAAGTCCTAAGTGTGTCAAATGACATTGCTATAACACTACATGATCCATAATTAAACTATAAGATTTGTAGTCATATTGTTCTAGTTTATTCGAGTTTCTTCTAGTCTTTCCGTCTTCCAATTTTTTTTTCTCTTTTTTTCTAACATGCATCTATTTTTTCAGCCTAAAGAATAGGTCCTAAGTGTGTCAAATGACATTGCTATAAACACTATATGTAGGGGTGGGTTCGGTTTTTGCGGTTCGGTTTTTACCCAAAACCAAAGACAAAATGGAAGGTAAGTTGGCGGTTCGGTTCGGTTTTGCATACAAAATATGTAAACCGTTGGTTATTCGGTTCGGTTTTATGCGGTTTTTATTTTGGTTTTTTTCGGTTTATAAAAGTAAATATTTATAAGCATTAAAAATTGTATAAATACTAACTCGACGAAGCAATAACAATACGTAAGTTTGGGTTTGGTTTTTTTTACTTGATTTTTACACACAAAAAAAAAGCCGAGCGGAAGGTTAGTGTTCTCATTGGTTCAATTTTATATACAAAATATGTGTCAAGTGTCTAACAAACATCTAGAAGATTCTACATAATCTTAAAGATATCGTATGTAAAATCAATTGCAGAGAATTTGGATTTTTTTAAAATAATAGTTTCATTTTCATTATACATCAAAGTTTCTTTTATTTAAATATGTTAACTACTGATTTTAATTTTTAATGTTATATAATTCTATATTAGGATTAGTTATTGGTGTTTATATTTTTAGATTTTTTAAAGTTTATAATATGGTTAAAATGTTTAATTAATAGTTAAGAAAAAAACTTTAATTGACTAGTAATTTATTTGCATTTTTGTTTATATGATTTTTATACATATCACATATACTCGTATAAATAAAATGAAGCATATAAATAAGTTCGGTTTATTCGGTTCGGTTCGGTTTTTCAAAGTAAAAACCAAAACGGAACCAAACAATAACGGTTCGGTTTTTTACATTCGGTTTCGGTTTTTTCGGTTCGGTTTTTTTTCTAGCTCGTTTCGATCGATATCGGTTCGGTTTTCGGTTTTCGGTTTTTGGTTTTCCCGACCCAACCCTAACTATATGCTCCATAATTAAACTATACGATTTTTAGTCATATTGTTCTATTTTTTGGGTGCATTGTAGTGTAGTATGCTAATTAATCAAAGGAAAAGAACATAAATCATGATTCGAGTATGCATATCTAAGTTAAACACAAAGATTTATTCTTTGAAATTATGAAAGGTTAAAAATAATAATATTTATGTTATTTTAAATAAATATTTAATTTTAGATAATACAAATAATTTCAATTCAATAAAATAATCAAATAAATTTAATGAGTTGATTTGTCCCAAAACATTTTAATTAGTTTAATAAATGGAGTTCATTTACATGAATTATTATTTAATTGAATTAATATGTAATTGATAAATGAATCTAAATTTATTAATATCATGGTTCTTTATATTGCACGTTTGCACACGAACCACACACCATTGTAAGTTTTTCTCTTTCAGTATTTTTTTCTCTTCCACTCTATTTGCTTTTTAACACTCGGTATTAATTAATATTATCAATAAGACTTTTTTACAAAATTAGTTTAATTAAATCATTTTTTATTAATACAACTAAATCAGGTTAATCATACTGAAAAAAGTAAATGACTTAAATAAACAGTTTTGATTTTATTAGTTAATTTTAATTACATCTAAAAGTTTTTTCTAGTGTAGATTTAGAAGAATTAAATTAATAGTTTAATAATTAATGAAGTGGTAACTATCAACAAAATGAAGTTGTATGTGTTTTAAACAACAAAAAAAAAGCGGTTCATATGGATTATGACATAAAAATCAATTATGAAACTTTTCCCAGCCCATATTTTTAGGAAATCCCATGACACTAAGTTACCAGGCCCACTAATACCTGAAAATTTGAGTGGGAAAAATTTTCCTTTTGCTTTTGTAAAGAGTAAGATTATTATTATTATTATTATTATTATTATTATTATTATTATTATTATAGTTATTATTATTATTAATTTTATTACTACTACTATTATTATTATTATTCTTTCATTATCAATATTTCTGTTATTATTATTTCTATTATTATTATTTCTATTATTATTACTTATATTATTAGTACTATTATTATTATAGTTTTTATTATTATTACTAATATTATTACTAATATTATTACTATTACTATTATGATTATGATTATGATTATTATTATTATTATTATTTCTATTATTAATATTATTATATTTATTATAATAAAAATTTAAATTTAAATTTTAATCAAATTAGTATCAGATCAGATTCAATCAGACCAGATCACATCAAATCCAATCAGATCAGATCAGATTGAATCAGATGAGATCCAATTAGATTAGATCAGATCAGACCAAATCATATCAGAATTTCAATAAATCAGATCAGATTAGTCGAATGGAACGCAGCTTAAAACCGAATTGATTAGAGCTGAAAATATACATTATCTCATTTCAAATATTAAATGTTCAATTTTTAAAGTACATCTAGATATATAATCCTCTAATGACATCCAACCAATATATTCACTCCTATAATCATAAATAAATCAATTTTCATTGTCTTTAACACTATATGTTTCTATCATCTATCTTATTGTCACCCTATTCGCGGCAAACATGTGTGCATCATCTTGGCTCTCTTCATCTCGAGTCCTCTCTTAGATTATAGTTTCAGGTGCTCTAAACTTTTATATTATTAACGACTAGGTTCTGTTGACAAACATTTGTCAACGGATGATGCCGACTCCAATTGAAATATCTATGATGTTTTGTTTTTATATTTTGTAAAATTAATGATTGCTAGTTCCTACCCCCCTAAAACTCTTGGTAAACTCTTTTGTCGTGATCCGGCCCAAATCTACCACCCAACCTCTTCAATTTTATCCCCAAAGTTTCATCTTCAAGAAAACTTTGAAGATGAAAGTAAAAAGGTTGGGGGTGGATTCGGGCCAGACTAGGGTGGGGGAGGGGTAAGAATCATCAATTTAAGAAATAAAGCATTGTAGATTCTCCAAAACCCCAGCCGCACCGTAGTGTCAACCGGGGTTGGTGCCAATGGAACTCCTATGTTATAAATATAAGGAGAAAGATGGTAGTAACAACTATCTAATAAACGTGTAAATAAAGTCATACAATAAAATAATCTTTTATACACCTTCTCTCTCATCTATGTGCTCCAATGATGGTATGTACTATCTCCATCCCTGAGTATTTATCCAGTTTAAACTTTTTTCAGTTAACTGTTTTTAATCTTTGACAATTTGACCTATGATAAAATAATACTTTGAAAATATTTGATGTAATAAATCCAATAAAACTATTTTTGTATCAATATCTAATTGAATGTGCAAAGATAATTGAATGTTCAAGTATCTAATGTCAAGTCACCGATTAATTGAATGTGCAAAGATAGTATAATTTTTTTTGGATGGCTCCAAAAAGGTTCTTCCCTTTAACACAACTCTGAGCCATATCACATAATGTAAGATTAAGAGAATGACAACCACAAGGAGTGTAAAATGCTCTAAAGTTGACATCCAAAAATCTCTTTTGAACTCCTTTGTTTTCCTTTCATATTTGCCCCATTATCATAACCTTGACCATGAATATCATCAATTTCAAGACCAAGAGACTTTAACTCCTCAATTGTGACATCAAATAGTCCTTTTCCAGTGGTATCATTAACATTCAAGAAGCCCAAAAAGGACTCTTCCACAATAATAGAATTACCTGAGAAGTTTAAATACCTCACTATCATACTCATCTGCTCTTGGTGACTTGTATCAGGGGTACAATCAAGTATGATTGAGCAGTACTTGGCTTCCTTTCTCTTCTTGATGATTTCCTCCTTAATCTCTTGGGCTAAATCAAGTATGAGTTCATTCTGGATCTTGTGCCCAAGATAATGCACATGAAGCTCATCATTAGTGATTCGTCGCACATGCTCTCGATAATTTGATCAAACTCTTGTAACATGTCAATGAGTCCCAAGAAATTTCCATTACCTGTTAAAAAGTAAACACAATTAAGAAAAATGACATTTTATGAAAGTGGAACATTTTGTTGGAACACACTTTGTACGTTAAACTAAAGTCGTGTTCATTTCTGACAGGTTTTGATAATTGCCAAACCGCCGTGGATATGAAGAGTTTCGTTGAATAACTCAAGGCGTGAAGAATGACTTGGAACAAGACCTAAAAGACTCAAGGACAAGATCAAGAATTGAAGACTTAGTCGAGTCGGTCTTTTGTGATCAAAACCGACAATTTATTCAAGTCTCGGTTCTCAAAAAGTCAAAACAATTTTTACAAACCATAAAACATTTTTTGTGCATCAAAACAAACATTTTTTGATGACTTCTTTTAGTGTTAAAATCCCTGGTCCTTGCTCAGAACCAAAACCACCTAAGTCGGCGTTCGGCTTTCGACGTTCGGTCTTCGGCGTTCGGTTTTTAACGCCCGAACGAACTCCGTGGTTTTCAATATTTTAAACCTTTTTTTTATCTCTGAGCATATTTTAAAGGTTCCCGAATAATTATTTTATAAAAACCACTTTTGTATCTTGGTCAATCGGTCTAACACGTGAAAAACGATCAAAACCGTACGCACGTGATTTACGACCTTGAGGACTTGGTTTTTACCAAACAAGTCTTGTTTTCACTATTTTATACCATATACAATGTTTTTCATACTTGGTTTTTACTTTTGGGAACACTTCGTTTTTGGACCTCGGTTTTTCAAAACGGGTTTCAGCTGGCTAGACTTTAGCTGGGTGATAATCGATTATCACCTTAGTGACAATCGACTATCAGCCACTGCAGCTTTGAACTTCCAAGTTCTGAAGCAC